GCCCCAAACGGCAAGCTGGGGGATCACTATGTTCGCCTGAATCACATCCAGCCCCGCCAGTCGCCAGTGCCTGCTGAGTGCGGCTCCTGCCGCCTCCCGGTGATGCACACATTTAACCCCGTGTTATGCCCGAAGTCCTATGGGGCGAGGGCAGGAAGGAACAAGAGGCCAGTGATATCACTGGCAACAGCCCCAGACTTGAATCCAGGCCCCCCAATCTAGGCAGTGAGGCTCTGTGCTGAGAGCCTTCTACATGTGAATGGTAACAGCCTATGTGCCCAGTCAAGCCCTGGTAGTATAGTGGTTACACGATGGGCTGCTAACACAAGGTCAGCAGTTCAAAACCACCAGCTACTCCTCGGAAAATGACAGGGCTTTCTACTCCCATAAAGAGCAGCAGTCTCAGAAACCCATCAGAGCACTTCTACCCATCCCATCAAGCGCTGGGCTCTAACTGCAAGGTGAGTGGGTGAAACCCACCAGGGACTCCACGAGAGAAAGATGAGGCTGTCTGCTCCCATGAAAATTGATAGCTTCAAAAAACGAATGTAGGGTCACTGTGTGGGGGGGGGAAGGACTCCATGGCAGTAGGTGGCTTTGTGGCCCGTGTAGACCCGGCTGTGGCCACGGGGCAGGGGGCATGGAGGGCGGAGACCTCTTTCTGAGAACATAAGGACACTCTTCTGCTTGCTCCGGACCGTGACCTGGATAATGCCCATGTTTCCAAACCTGGCTCACAAAATCCTCCGTGTGCCTGTCTAAACCAGCCCCAGGGGATATCTGGCGTGTCTCTGCCAACAAGGCCGAGTGACACTGGATCCTTCGGCCAGATGGCCATAGGCAGGCCTCCTAAAACAGCACCCCCAACACGGATGGATTTGCAGGTGGTCTCAGGGTGAGCCCCACCCCTTATTAGAGACCACTACACCAACGGCCGCTGGGTTGATTCCAACTCCACACTGATGGCAAAAAATAAACCAATAAACCAAAAACCTTACTTCCATCCAGTCGACTCCAACCCTGTGGGACAGAGCAGCACCACCCCGTGGGTTTCGAATTTCTGAGACTGCAACTCTTCAAGGAAGCAGCGAGTCTGGTCTTTCTCCCAGAGTGGCTGGTCCTGGACCACTGAGCGTATGTATGATCAGCAGTCCAACACCTCACCGTTCCGTCACCCTAACTCCCCCTGAAGTTCCTGAAGGCGTCCTGGTGGCATAGTGGGCTGACATCTTGGGCTGTTCACGAGGTTAGCAGTTCAAACCTGCCAGTTGTTCCCTGGGAGCAAGATAAGGCTGCCTGCTTTCATAAAGATTGAATTAGCCTCAGAAACTCTGTGGACAGTTCTACTCCGCCCTACAGGGTCACTGAGTCTGAATAAACTTCATGGCACAAGGTTTGAGGCTTGGTTTTGGTTGGTCCTTGAGAGAAAGGGGAAGCTGGCTGTTCCCATAGTAAAGACGGAGTCATGGAAACCCACAGGGGCAGTATGACCCTGTCCTACAGGTCACCGTGAGTCAGAACGGACTGGATGGCAGGGCGTGTTTTGCAGTTTCTAAGTTCCTCGGGTGACACAATGGGTGAAGTGTCAGGCTGCTAACCACGAGGTCAGAAGTTCAAGCCCACAGGCCACTCTTCAGGAGAAAGATGAAGTTGTCTGCTGCCGTAAAGATTTAGTCTTGGAAACCCACAGGGGCAGTTCGACCCTGTTCTGTATCGTTCCCATAGACCTGAATTAACCATTCTCAATTACTGCCATGGAGTCAGTGCTGACTCACGGCGACCCCCTGTGGGTTTCCAAGGCTGTAATTGTTTACGGGAGTAGAAAGCTCAGTCTTTCTCCTGCTGAGCCAGCAGGTGGTTTTGAACTGCCAGTCATGAAGACTGCAGCAGCCCCATACGTAACCAAGCCCCCAGGACTCCAACTGAACCACAGTAGGGTTTTTCCAAGTTCTCTGTTCAAAGCACTAGCGGACCGCGTGGTCTGTGTCAAGGAGCCCCAGTGGCTACGCATTGGGCTGCTAACTGCAAGGTGAGACGTCCGGAGGGAACAAAATGGGGCTTCCTATGCCCACAGAGTGACAGTCTCAGAAACCCACAGGGACAGGTCTACCCGGTCCTATAGATGTGAATCCGAGCGGTCCTATAGATGTGAATCCGAGCAGGGCCCTGGGCGACGCTGCCCCTGGGCCATCAATGCCTGTCTGCCTTGGAGTTCTGCGTTTCTCTGATAAGTGGGCGGACGGTGAGAATTTTCAAACTTGTGGAGAAGGGTCAAGAAATGAGATGCCCACCGAGGAAGGTGGGTGCACCGTGGGCTGCCTCAAAAGTACTGTTATGGACTTCAGTTGAGGTCTGGCTTACATCTTGCTCCTCTGGAAACAATTCACAGGTTCTACATGACTCACACCAACTTAAGGAGGCAAAACATTTTGCGATTCATGACAGACCCAAACAGATCCCTTCTCCATTCTTGACCTGCCAAAGTACATTTTCCAAAGGAGAGGTGGGGTTGGGGGTGGGGATGGAATCTACCTCCATAAGCATCTATTTCCCTCCTGCTCCAGCAGCACTGTCAGGGACCAGGGGAGCCCAAACTCCGTCCTGGGACCAAGGCCAATCCACAAGTAGATGGTATTCTTCCGGCGAGGGCGGGCAGCACCCATAAGCCCAGGTTCCCAACGGTTCTCTCCCAGAGGCCTGGCCCCGGCTTCCTCTGCCACCTGGGCTCCCATTCCATTTCAAAAGCAAGACCTCAGTTCCGCCCCCACGTGCCAGGTGACTTTCCCTCCCGGCGGCCGGGAACCTGGGAACGCCTGACCTTCCCTACAACCTCAAAGGCCACCAGCAGTCCCACAACACAAGCCCCAAGTCCCTTGGTTTGAAGCGGGGTGGGTGGGGGGTGTTATTCCCTGAACGGGGCCCGGTGGGCAACTGTTTCCAAACCAAGTCCCAGGTTGGTGAAATTCCCACTTGAAAGGTGGCAGATGAGCTCGCCCTCCCACCCCCAGCAGCTTCAAAGGGCAACAGGCTGGCCAAGGGGGCGGGGTTGGGCTCTCCGACCTCCTTCTTTCCAGGGGGCCAAGCTGGCAGAGGCATGCAGCCGGGGCGCACCCCCCACCCCCACCC